AACTAAAAATATTTATTTTTTACATTTTAATTTCTCACAATTTATTGGTTGTGTTCGTAACCGAACACAAATGACATAAGCCTTGGTTACTCAAATGTAGTAACCAAAGGTTTGGCCGTCACGCATTAAAAATGCTTTGGAAACAGTCTGCAATGTCTTAATTCTGTCTCACGCAAATAATATAAAGAAAGTATCAAACTTTTAAATTTTGGCAAAAAATTTCAAAGATGATTATTTCTAAAATTTGAATTTTCAAATTACCAGACATTGATCAAGGCATACAAAAACATGCCATACAAAAAAAAAGAAGAGTCTTGAGCTTTTTTGAAAAAATTTATCAAGAGAAATGGAAAAAAATTCAATATTAGTATATCCAGGACTACGTTATACACACAAAAAATTAAATTTTGCATGCAAAATTTTTTTTTTTTCAAAAAAATGTTTGTTTGAGTACGAAAATCATTTTGCGGTTGAAAAAAAAACCCAAAAAAAATTTTAAGGGCAATTTCAAAAATACTTAGAAAAATGTTTGTTGTCGCCATCAAAAAAATGCTAGTCATACAATTTCCATATATGGAAATTGTATGATTAGCATTTTTTTTGACAAAAAATTTTCCTTTTTTAATTAGTACGATACACCAAAATTTACGCGAAAACAAGAGAAAAGTTCTTCGAAAATTTGATGACAACATTTTAGCAAAATGTATGAAAATTGTATGAGTAATATTTTTTCATAGACTTAGTTTATGGAATTGTATGATCAGCATTTTTGGTCTATGGAGGTCAACCCGGGTACCTGCTAATTTTTTGATCGGGCTTTAGCACTATCACTGTGTTTCAAACACAATTAATTGATTTTCATGAAAACCATCATATTTATATCATTGTAGGTCAGTTAAAATCATACTAAAAACTTAATTGTATGAACAAGTTAGATATTTTTGCCACGTCAGATCTTAGAGGGTGTTTTCAAAACTTGCTGTTTTTATAAATCTTCTATCTTTCACAAGTCCTTGGGTTACTGAAGTGGTTTTTTGCAGTAGGCACAATAAATTCGCCGAACTTTGATGATATACTTCATTGAGTTGGATTGTTTTTTGATCACGCATGTTTTCCTGATTTTTTCGCTGTATTTTGTACTGAAAAACCTACTTGAGTGCTGAACTAAAAACAAAACAACCGAATAAAGTTAGCTAAAACAAAATTATTAGACTCGTTTTTATCAATTCTTAAAACAGGTCAACTCAGTTAAATCAAAATTTTAAAGAGGTAGACAGATTCAATTGTACTTATTCTTATATCAAATGATCCTGTTTACCTCTCTAATTTCGAACCAAATGATATGACCCGTTTTAAGGGTGTAATTTTGGCAAAATTTTATCTATGCAAGCCTCCTATGAAGCTCAAAAAATTTAGGAGAAATTTAAACTCCAATAAAGGGCGCAACATTTTTTTAATTTTAAAAAGGGTGTTTTATATGTTAAAAATGACATTTTTTGGCTATCAAACGAATCTAAGTATGGTTATTGGAAGCTGAGAAAATTATAATCTCCTGAGGTTTTGTTGCGCTACACAAGAGGCCGGCAGTGATTTGGTTTTGTCAGTAAATGAACAAATATGTTTGGAGTATTTTTTGAATTGAGTAAACACAGCCAAAAAAGATCGTTTTTGGGTTTTTTTTGAACCAAAATTTTGCGAAACAATTTCCACTATTATTTTTTGTTAAGAATTTATGTCAGGTTGGTCTACACCAGTTTTTGTTGGCCTACATCAATATGAGAAAAAAACGAGTTTGATTTTCAAATTTTATTCTTTTTGTCTGGATACATTAATTCAGCAAAAAAAATTTCGTCTTGTTCAGCACAAAATGCAGTGAAAATTGTTGAAATTGCAAAAACCTGCGTAAAGAAAAATCAATCTAACTTCATAAATTATATCATCAAAACCGGCAATTTTTTCTGCCTACTGCAAAAAAAATCATTTCAACAACCCAAATATTGGGAAACAAGAAAGTAATTATGAGAAACAAGTTTTGAAAACACCATGTATTTTTACGATGCAAACTCGCATTCTTAAGACTATTTTTCGAGTTGAGTTTTTGTCAGCTAACAAGAATGTCAAGTCCAGTAGTACGATTGCGACATGTTACTCGTTTGTGCGTCCAATCAACGCTCCTGTTTCCATCGGTCTTGCCAAGCGCTTGTCGGAAACATAATTCGACGCTAAATAAACTGTTCTCTTGAGTAGTCTTCATCCCTTAGTTTTGTTGTTCTTTTGTCAGTTCCACAGCGAGCACCACCCTCAAACCATCAATCAAATATTTTTCGTGATTCAATTGTGATTTGCTGTACTTAAGTTGAGCTCACTACTTAGGTCTATCGTAGGTAATGGTGGCATATGCCGTACACAGAAAACCTTTACTATAAAAGCGATAGTGTCGGATTAACATTATCATTAAGACCATTTATCCACGGGGGAAAGGACCAACACAAGAGCTGTACAGCTCATCACGGTGAACCGCTGTTGTGCCCCTGTTTAAGAACTATATGCAATTTTTTTGGATCTCCCATTTCAGCGTGTTTGAGCAACCAAGCTTCAACAATTAATGTTTGGAATAATTTGATCCACCTCATGTAACCATCTGAAAAAAGGTGAATGGTCTTGTTCAGCTATTTCGCCAACCACGCCCTTCATAAAGAAATCGTACCCTCCCTGGATGCAAGCCCTTGTGTGATAGGAATCGAGTCGTTCATTTTGGGCCGCGGTATACCGTCCGATCTACAATCTCCGTCGGTTAATTTATGGGAACCTACAGTCGCCTTGAAGACTCGCTTAAAGCTGCAAGCTATTCGCTTTCGTGACCCACCAGGACTTGGGGCTCCCGGTGGGTTGAATTTCCACTTTATGCTCTGATGTACCAGAGGGGGTGAAGCACACACAATCCATTGACGGATTCAATGGATTGTGTGTGCTTCACCCCTTCTGGTACATCAGAGCATAAAGTGGAAATTCAACCCACCGGGAGCCCCAAGTCCTGGTGGGTCACGAAAGCGAATAGCTTGCAGCTTTAAGCGAGTCTTCAAGGCGACTGTAGGTTCCCATAAATTAACCGACGGAGATCTCGGTACAACTTTCTGCTTAAAAATAGATTTTAGTTTATTGTCTGTCACTGAATTGAGCTCAGAGCCTATCGATTTAGAGTACTCGATAGTGTTATGACCTTATGTCTAATAGTTTTCTGCTATGGGTGGGGAATTTTAGCGCTAGAAATGGTAATTTTAAGATTCTAAAAAGCTTAGATTAAAAACTAAGGGCCGTGAGCTCAAACTAGATGCCTATAGAAACAAAGGCTGAGGATTGGATCCTCCCCCACCCCAGTTGTATATTGTGCTTTATACAGTAAAATGTTCTTTTGGCCTAAAATGTGTCGCGTAACCTTACAACCTTGACCGCTAACTTAGCTAGCTGGTATCATGAGCTACCCTACGTAGTTTGCAGTAGAAAAAACGTGTACGTTTTGGATTGAGGGTTGATTCATTGTTGTTTGATTAATATTGTTATTTTTTGTTCAATTTTTTTTAAAAAGGGCAATTACATTTGTGCGTCGATTTTTGCTGCCAAAAAAATTTTGAACCGTAATCGTCTCACGATTTGGCATTTTCTGTTAGAAATAAAGACCAATCTTCGAGTGAATGAACTGTGTTTTCAGACTTTGGCATGAAACTCGTGCGCCGTAAGGCCTAATTCTCTGAAAAAAATCTATTTGATCATTTCTATCCATAAGAAATCACCTGAAGGGTCTGCCGATTTTACACAATTGGCTAAAAACTATTTGAATGACTATTTTGCATACTTCAAGATGCAAGTCTTTATAAATTCTCAAATGATTTCTTAACTCAATGTAACTTCGATGTAACTTTTCAGAGATATTTTTGTAACCTTTTCATAAAATCGTTCAGGTTTAAATACACAATTACGATACATCAAAACAAAGTGATAATGAACGGTCTGTTTTTTTTAAATCGAAAAATTGTTCGAGAAAACTTGACTTCATAGATATTGATAGGTGTGTCAATCAGCAAACTGGTGTGACTATTATGTTGAAGGTAATTAATTCATGAAGCGGCGAGATTTGTTTGTTAGACTTGATCTGAAACAATACTCATCAATGAATGAAATTTACAGAGAAACAAATCACAAACAAGTGTCTCATTTATTACTCATTTCAGAGCTGTAGTTTTTTCTAGCCTCGGTGGACTTTAGCATATTGATTACATTTTATTTATACTTATTAAGTTAATACATCATTGATTTTTTAGTCTGACAGTTTTGAAAAAAAAAACATTCTTACTGGTGTGATTGGTATCGATGCAGAATCTCAAAAAATCTGAGACCGAAAGTAGCAGAGCTGAATTATGAAGCAAAATATTTAAGTGGCCTCAAAATTGTTCAAAAAAAGTGACCCATCGACAATCTAGTGGAAGTTTTCATTATCTTATCTTAAAAGTCATACTTCATAGCAGAGATCATATTTTATATTTTCAAAGTTTACGTTCTCGCCTTGGCCAACTTTAAATCTTTTGGACCTCGTTATCTCAAAATATTTCTCTACTCCAAAGCATTAGATACCTGAACAAATGATCCCCAACTGAAGAAACCCTCGACAAATTATTCACGCCAAATTCAATTTGAAGCAGAAGAAACTCACTTCACAATTTAGTTACTTTTATAAATACTGCAGTTGAATGAAATAGTATGAAACTTTTAGACTTTGAAGCTCAGTTGGAAATTTGCGGCAGTTTTGGCTTCGCTCAAATTTTGGTCATTTTTTTGGCCGGATATCTGGAAGCACTACACGGATGGTTGACCTTCGCGCCTGTTTTCCTAGCCAGAAATATACAATTTCGTTGCAAAAATGACAATTTCGTTGCATCTTTTTTCATCAACTCAACAATAGGCACAGAAATTTTCCAAGAATCCAAGAATGACTCGCTTTTTGGACCTGTAGACGTTTGTATCAAAGACTGCAAAGAGTATGTGTACGAATCAAGTTCAAGTTCAATTATGTCTGAATTCGACCTGGCATGCGGATATAGATCTTTCTTGAAAGCCTTCTCAACCTCAAGTTTCTGGTTTGGATTTTTCCTCTCTTGTATTTTCATCGCTCCATTTAGCGATAAGTTTGGACGAAAAACATCAGCCGCGTTTTTGCTCATATGTCAAGCAATTACTACAACTTTGACTATATTTTCGCCAAATATTTACTTCTACATTTTATTTCGAACCCTTTCCGGGTTTTTGGTGATTGGAACTAGTAAAATTTTCGTCTTAGCAATGGAACTTGTCGGTAAAAGATGGGCTGCGTCAACCGGAACAATTGTCCAGTTGTTCCAGTGTTTTGGTGAAATATTTTGCGCCTTGTCTGGCGAGATTCTATTCGAATCATGGCGCAAACAGGCTTTAGCCATAGCTGTAATGGCAGTTATTAGCGTGCCTTTTTTTCTGGTCCTAGTTCCGGAGAGTCCACGATGGTTGATATCTCAAGGCAGGCTTAACGACGCCGAAAAACATTTAAAATGGATGGCCAAACTAAACTGCAAAGATGCGTCTTTTCTCAACTTACAAGTTTCCAATGGACTTCAGCCACTGAATAAAAAAATCATCTGCGCCTCTTCTTCGGAAAAAGGAGATAAAACAATTAACGAAACTTCAAGTTTACTTGAAAAAGAACCAAACAAAAAATCATTCCGGAAAAAAGACTCGCTATTCTCATTATTTGCTACAAAATATAGCGCTATTTTTACCATTTCAACAGCTTTTTGCTGTTTGGCAATTAATTTAATTTGCCACGGAATCAGATATGCAGTGCAAGGAATAAGCGGCGACTTGGTTGTAAACACTTGTTTGCTAGCACTAACTACAATACCTGGTGTGTTATTTATTTTTGTCGTCGAATACTTTGGTCGCAAATACACTTTAGCTTTCCTGTTTCTGCTGTCTGCAGTTTGCAGTTTTATCGTACCATTGATACCCTATTCAAACTTGGGCGGGAACATTTTGATTATTTTTACCATGACTGACCGATGCTTTGCTCAAGCAGCTATTACGTTGTTCTACGTTTACGCTTCGGAAGTGTTTCCGACAACCTTGAGAAGTACTGGACTCTCCTTTTGCATCGCCGTTTCAAGATTTGGACCCTTTTTGGCGCCTTTTATCAACGAACTCAAAGTGGGTTCTAATAATCTAATTGGGTTCTTTGTGTTTGGGGCATGTGGTGTTCTTGGATCGCTTGTCTTGATGATTTTCGGAGTGGAAACGAAAGGCAAAAGCTTGATTTCAACGGTGGAACAGTATCACTACAGATCAAAATTTAAAACGGATCAGTAAACTTACAAACTTACATTCGATTGAGGGTGCCAATATAGGATTTTAGAAAGCAAATGGACAAGGTGTGCGGGGAGGGGGCAATTTCTTCAAAATATTTGTCGAGCTTTTCATTGATTCATAGACAATTTTTAGTGCTCTTCGAAAATGTTTGAAGCCGTTGTCGCTAAATCTGCGTTCATTTTAATCATTACTTCGTTGGCTCTTTTCCAATTTCCCCACACACATTTGCAGTTCAATTTTGACAAACTACTTTAATGTTGTCAATTGGCGCACTGCAATGAAACTTGGCATGTTGAACACAAACACACTAATTATTGTGAAAAAAAATATTGCACTACATACCTTACATCGATACAACACGAGTTTGGTCATAATTGCACGTAAAAACTACAAAATCAGAAATCGAAGTGGGAGGAGGTGAAAAGAGCCGCTTCAGGTAGTATTTATTGTTTTATATGTATGTACTTATTACATATCAGTGATGTATTGTACAATTTCTATAACTCTTTTGGTTTTTACCACCAGTGTTTTCGCTCGTTAAGAATCGCAGATTTGCTTTTTGTTCCGTATTTCGTAACGAAAGTAACGAAATATTTGTGCTAGGTTGGTTTTTGTCTTCAGACAAAATTTGATGTTTTAACTAGCCATTTTTGACGAATTTTTTTTATCATTCGAAAGGTATTGTTGTCCTGAGCTTGAGTTTGAATAGATATTTTACCTCTGATCATTTTTAATATAGTTATGGGGTTTAAAAACTGCCATTTTGGCCAAATTGAGACAATTAACGCGCGATGTATTTCGTTCTATTAACGCGTAAGCGGAGATTTAATACGTCTTAGAAATCGTTTTGAATTAGTTGACGCAATGTTATTTGTTTGCCATAGTTGATTTGTCACTAGGAGCGAAATGTATCATTTCGTACTTTATATGGCTTGTGGGGGGGATGATTTTCACAAAAAAAAATCTCGTTATAAAAAATCGTTTTTTTTTCTTACACTTAATTGTTTCATGAAAACAATGACCCATAGACCTTAAAAGGTCGGAACATTCAAGGCTTCGTCCTGCTACGAGCAGTCTTGTTTTATTTAGAAAACTTTTTATAACTGCTGGATCAATCCAATTTGTAACACATTAGTTTCCCGCTCATTCGTGTTATAAGAACGTTATAAATTGCGCGTTAATTGTCCCAAATCATCCAAATTAGCAATTTTCAAACCTCCATAACTTTACGAAAGTGATCACAGATTGAATAAATGTTTATTTAAATGAGCTCAGGACAACAAAATTTTTCACATGATATTAAACAATTAGGTCAAAAACGCTTGGTGAAAAATTTGAAAAATGACGCTTAGTGAAAAAATTTTGAAATAAATAATCCGCACTTTCTGCAAAAGTCTCAACTAAAGATCTAAAGGCGCATTTGAGCACCAATATAAATTAAACTTAGGGGAAGCAGCGCGTTTTTCGTCAAAACTTCAAAAATTTTCCAAAACAGCAATTTTGACGTAGTTGTATCTTGGGCGCAGAAAATTTCGCCAAATTTGGCCGTACAAAAAATAATTTGAAATGATTTTTCCCATTCAAGCCATTTTAGTAAGAAAAGTTGGACGGTGAGTTTAAAACGTTTCTCCTATGTTAGCTGAACGTCAAATGGAGCCCAAAATTTTTCCCAAGGCCGCTAAACTTTTGTTATTTAGTCTAAGTTTCAATTAAAAACTATACGCTGTTGAAGTTTTTGATAATTGAATAACCATTTCCATCAGTTTCCCTTGGTCCAATTAATTTCATTTCCTATAGTTTTTAATTGCGTTTTAAAAGCATTTTGGCTCAAAACCCTTTCATAAGATGTCTGTCTAAGTATCACTAGTGGATGTGGCTCTGTGGTGTGCTCAGGAATTTGAAAACGGGTCTGTTTGAAAAACAGTAATTGACAAATTGTTTTTCAAAAAACAGCTGTTGTTTTCATACTTTGAAAATAATATATAACTTAAGACCAAAAACAGACCATAGATCTGATTGACTAGTAACAAGGATTATCAAACTTAATAATTAAAACGTTTTTATTACATTGCTTAACAAAAAAAAACAATTGAAAGAGGGTCATCTTCTGGAAAACTATGTATTTTTTCAAACAACAGCTGTCATTCTATCCGTCTTATATCCTTACATAGTACTTTTTTCAATCAGATTTGAACAATCATCGTTTAGTAGCAGCCACACTAGCGTCTCAGTAATGTATCTTAGAAAAAAGGCTGCTCGTATCAGGGCAAAAGCCTGAGTTTTCAGAGATGGAAAAAATCATAAAATTATCAAAATTTTTATAGTTTTTTGAAAATCTTCCTCCCACGCGCAAGTCTTCAAACTCTAGCAACATTGTAAAAACAAAAATTAGCTTGCCTCAGTTAATTTTGGAGCAATTTTTAGCCGGATTAGTTCTTGCTTACGCATTTTTAGCTTTAAAAATTTATCGCGTGTCAACAGTGCCAAATCAGTTACCATGGCACAAACCTCAGTACCTTACAAAAACAGATCTAAATAAAAAAAAAAATTTGAGAAATTTGAGCTCAGGGCAGCATTATTTTTGAGACGATAAAACCATCTGTTCAGTTGTGGCTTGTTTAAAAGCCCAAATTGGTTCGAAGAAAATGACCACTGACACGTACAAAACTCGGAACAGTAACTCATCAGTTCGTATATTATCGCTGTTCGATATGCCATTATGTGTAAACACGGCATAAAACCAACAGAATCGAATCGAATAAATGGATTTTTGGATTGATTTTAAATACTTCAAAACACTCATCATTAAAAACTTGCGATTCGATTTCTAAAAAACATAATAGAACACGTTTAAATGAAGAGAAAAACAAGTCTCTGAAAAACAGTCAAAAAACGACAAGATTCTAGACTCTTTTCCAAAAGTCCCTAAAATTAAAACGCCTGCAAGTCAAAGACCTGACAAATATTTGAATTTTGAATGTAAGAATTTAACGAAAACTATTGCAATAATTCCCTATGAGCAAAAAGATCCAAAAAGGTCTTATTTTAAACCGCCTCTGAAGATCAGCAAATGACCTAAGCTGACTCAGAAGCAACCCTACTTCAGAGTAGGACTATCAAAATCTTCAGAAAAATTTTCAACCAGTACGATTAAGTTGAGGGCACATGTCATCTTCTTTAAAGTTTATATATTTCATGAGATATAACCTTATAGTCAATTTCAAGGTAAAACAGAACGTAGTGACATAAATCGAGATGTGCTGACGACATAAGACGCTGATTAGGTGAACTAGTGGTTCAACCATCATTTTAGACGCGGACCACAGTCAAATTTTAGCTGCCCGCTTATTCGAAACCGAATTCTTATAAAATTTTTATGTCTTGTAAGGTTAAATCGGAAGTCTTACTACATTCTTATATCATTCAAGAATCTATTAAAGTTTTTATATACGTCTTATAGAGAACTTATAAGATTTTAAAATGCTGTTTAGATTTTGTAGCCGTTGGAAAAGACGCATAGAGAGCGCAAATGTGCTAAAACTGCATAGACCCATTGGACTACTAAATTAAAAGTTACATTTACCTGGTTAACGGGGGAGATTAAGACCAAATGCTATTCACACATTTATTTCGTTTTTTTAGCTTTTGTATACCTGAATAATTAGTGGATCTTAAAAGTCTGTGATTTAAATCTAATAAAAATGCTCGAAGCAGCGCTATATGATAAAAATTGCTAAAATTTATTCAAAAAACTTATTGTTCCGACTTTCGATACGAAAGTAACGGAATATTTGTGCTCGGGTGGGTTTTTTTTTCTTCAGACAAATTTCGACTTTTTAACTAGGCATTTTTGACGGAATTTTTTTATATCATTCGAAAGGTATTGTTGTCATGAGCTCAAATTTGAAAAGATATTTCACCAGTGATCATTTTTCGTTAAGTTATGGGGGTTTAAAGATTGCCATTTGGCCAATTTGGGACAATTAACACGCGATATATTTCGCGCTATTAACGCGTAAGCGGAGAGTTAATCCGTCTTAGAAATCGTTCCAAATTGGTTGAAAGAAGCTTATTTGCCATAATTGATTTGTTACAAGGAGCAAAATATATTTTTTTTGTACTTTATGGCGTGTGCGGGATGATTTTTATTTAAAAAAAATTCAATTTTTAGAAAAAAATATTTTCATTTTTTTTTTTAATTTTAATTTTTTAATGTTATTACTGCTCCATAAACCTTAAAAGGCAGTCGGAACATTCAGGGCTTCGCCCTGATACGAGCAGTCTTGTTTATTTTATTTTAATCGGTGTACAAACATAATTGTGGAAATGAGGTCAGCAGAAAAAGACGGATTAGAACTGCACAAATAGAACAGTTTGGCTCTTTCTCTTAACTTAAAATTGGTTGTAAGAGATAAACATTTGTTATCTGGACAATCAATTTGAAAAATGCCCTTTAGACTGCTTGGAAAGTTTAACATCACTATTCTGACGGAGTGTTTTTTTCATTTAAAAGATTCTCCACATTCGATCAAGTTGACAAAACTTCACGCTCTTAAATTTTGTAGCATATAGCAGCTTACTCATAATCAGCCCAGGAATCTTCGATTTGTTTTTTACGTGCACATGTTTAGTAGAAACTCTTACAATGACGACAAAAAGTCTTTGAAATGCAGTATATAGCATTTCCAGACATCTGTGAGAACGTTCAACAACGAGAACAGATGCTGACTGACCGAGCATGTTCATAAACTATTCCAATTGAGATTGCGAAAAATATGTGAAAAATTGCAACGCGAACTAAAAATTAAAGAACGTTTTTTAAAAAAATAGCAGTGTAAGGCACGACAGATATGCATGCATATCTGCGGGAGAAAATGTTGACCACCAGAAAAGCAAAAGTATGTGGGCTAAGGAAATTTGTTATTTTTTAGTGAACGGGACACTTTTTGTGGGATAGAAAGTTTTGGTGATTCGAGTTTGAGCGTGCTCTGAGGCAGAAAACTTTGCTTTGCAAAATTCGGGTCCAAATTAGAAGTTCCGGTTATTTTTGGAACAAGGATAACTTGGACATGCTGGAATTGACGGACGTATTGCGCACACATATGGCTCACCATAACTGTTTTTACCAAACAATTACATATAATGCAGAAACAAATAAACAATATTATAACTGCTTTTCATGGAAAACAAGAAGGAGGAGTAATATATTCGGGCATTTGGAAGATTGCTAGATTTTTTTTACTACGAACTAAAGCCTTCGCATATTGATGTGGATTTACAAGTGATCCAATCAGAGGACGTGGTTTCATTTCTCTAGCAAACTGACGCAAGATGCGGCAACTTGAATTTAGCTTCTATGCCCAGCGCAGATCTATCAAGATTTCTATCGTTAAAATTTCAAGTGACGTTAAAGTATCGTTAAAATTTCACTCATACGGGAATTGGCTTGAAACATCTTCCTTCAAATTGTCCTTTTAACTCTTATTGATGGTAAATTTTCACCAATTTTCGCTTTCGA